CTGCAGCAGTACTGAATGGCTACTATTTGAATTTGACTCTTAGAATTCTGCCTTGGGTAATTTTTAGAAGAAAGAAAATTGCAAAGGGATGAGATTTAGCCTAAGGAAAAAGTGGGATATGAGGGCAATATATGGCAATCCACAGGGCTAATTTAAATGTACTATCAGCTGAGGCAGATACAGAGTCTAGATTGTTGGTCTATGGAAACCATCTTCAAAGATAAGACAATCTGGTGTCAAAAGAGTAAAAAGAGGAAGACCATGGCATATGCTATTGCATCCCCTCGAGTTGTTAAAGCAGAATATACTTAGAATTCTCTCTCTCAAGCCTCAATTATATCATACTTAAAGAGGGATCCAAAATCGCTATTATTTTTGTCTCAGAGAAACTGAAGATTTAGAACAAGGTTAAGTTCCTTCATAGAGACATCATACCCCATTGCTTCTTGACTGCCCCTTATATGAGTGTCCTGAGAAGAAGCTGAGAGAAGAAGTGACAGGGTCTTGAACCGAGACAACACTGTGCTCAGATCTCATCTCCACCATGCAATGCTTGCTCACATCATATAACCTTCCTTTTATTGATTTATTTTCTTTTTATTTGTTACATAGAGACAGTGTCTTGCTATGCTGCTCAGGTTGGTCTGGGACTCCTGGTCTTAAGTGATCCTCAGTCTCCCAAAGTGCTGTGATTACAGGTGTGAGCCACTATGCCTGGCCTATAACCTTTCCATGCCTCAGTTTCCTCATTTATAAAGATGGAGATAGTAAGAGGGGTTGTAAGGAAAATTAAATGAATTAATACATTGGTATGACACTTGGCAATTTCCTGTCATGGATAAGTTTTCAATCAAGATTAGATAGTGGCCTTTGCAGTCAACATTCCCTAGAGCAAAGACAAATGTAGCTTTCTCCTTTCAATTCAATAATTGACTATTTCATTGTTTTTCATAAATTAGTAATTCTCCCTTCTTCTACCAAGGCTTACCAAGTTCAACAATCTTCCTGGGAAACATAGGCTTTGAAGTGAAAATGGGGATGAACTGACAGGTTTCTCTGCAAGGTTTTCCAAACTTCGTCATGGTTAAGAAGTGGCTGGAGTTACAATTCCTTCACAGGGGCACCCACTACCTTACAGTGAGAATGGTGTCTTTTTCAGCTGGTCAATAGCCTGGGTTCTTGTTAACTGTTAAAATTACCAGACCTCTCTCCTAGAAATTCTGATTCAGGTGGTCAGGGTAAAACCCAGGAATCTATATTTTAACAAGCATTCCAGGTAACTCTTACTGTCAGGGAGGTTGGATAAATTTTGGGGTAGAAGGAGAAGTAGGAAATAGAAAGTTTTTGGTGAAAGAATGGGTAAAGATAAAAATAAACGCACACTCATAAGGAAACATAGAAAGACCCAAGCAAAGATTATCTTGACTAAATCCATAGAAAATGGTAAAATAAGAGAAACAGGTGAAAAATCATATAGAATATGACATTACAATCACTGTAGACTAGCTTCTCTTTCAAAATGTGTTTTAAAGTCAATTCTCTTAGAAATCATCTAGAAACTAGAAGTAACCTTTTCTGGACACTGTATCAAATTTCTGTGATTGCATCCTCCCAAACCTAAGTAGTTAGCTTGCCCTGGAAGTTAGCATGGTAGCCAAACAGAAGTTGCAAAAGAGAAGCAAACGTTACAAGAAATTCAGTAACTCACCTCCCTTGCCTCTCAGCATTGACTCCATACCACTGCTTCTCAGCTGTGGCATCATATTAGAATCACCTGCAGAGCATTTAAACTACCTTTCTACCCTACCTGGGACCAATTAAACCAGAACCCACAGGAGTGGGGCCCACCATTAGCACTCTTTTAACCTCCCTTTGTGAATCTAAGGAGAAGCCAAGGTGAGAACCATTCAACTAGACCTTTGGTTCGCAAACTTAGACCATTACCACATTAAAATTATCTGAAAGTCTTTAGCAACTACCGATGCCTAAGACCCACTTATAGAGATTCCCACTTAACTGGTCTTAAGTGTAGCCTGGTCACCAAAAAGTCTACACATACACTGTGTTTACAAAGTGCAGCCAAGACTTTCTTTATCATCAGTAACCAAGGGAAAAAAACAGTTTTCTGAAAATCAGGTGCATTTTGAAGTTTAAATCCTTGGGTTTGTATTGAGAGTAAATAGAACACTAGGGTTAGCATAAGGAGACAAACCCTGGTGCCAGCCTTCTTTCTCCTCCTAAGAGGTGGTCCCACTGTTCAGAACACACCTGCATTGCTCTGATCATGTAATGTTTCCTGGATTTATTTGGGGATAGCAGACATCTTAGCAACATCATTCATCTCTCTGGTCATATATATCTTTGGTCATTTGATGTAAATGGCTTCACAGAGAGGATACAGATGATCCATTTGGGGGCCCTCTGGATAGTTCATCTTAAAATTCAAGGTGGGAGAAACAGAAGCATACTAAAAATAGCACAGCGTAGTACATGTGGATACCAACATGAAATATGCCCTTTAGAATATTACCAGAATGATTCTGTTGGCCCAGCATGTGGGCCACCCTTGGCCAGTCTCTCATTTTTCAGACAGCTCCTATTAATTGGACTCATAATCAATTGATAAAAATATAGACCCAAGGGAGTGGTGATCACACAGAGTGAATTCACGGAATTAATTTCTGATGCTTTATGGTGACCTTTCTGGGATGTCTATGTGGATTTTAAAAACAAAAGAAAATAGTACAGAATTAATGTATCCAAATGACTACCAGTTTTTTTGTTTGTTTTTATTTTTTAAGAACATTTTTGTAACTGCTTTTGGCATCACTTCAGAGTCCATGGAATATTCTTTTGAATATCACTATTGGGTATAACTCTTTGTGCTTTGGGGTAGATTTGATTTCATAATGAGAAGTCATCTAAGCCAAATCTTTTGGAGAGGGTGTCATCAAAGGGAGTTGTCCTTTTTGTTTAGAAATTTGCTCAGGGATCATACGATACCATGGGTAAGAAAATCAAAATACATAGGCTACCAAAGAAGGAAAAGAGGAAATGAAGAAATTATAGCTTATTTTAGAGTTAGGTGCATAGTGTTAAAAATAAGAATATTTTCAAGGATATCATGATATATTACAAAGTTCTGAAACAATTAAAAAACAGGCCTGATTTCTTTATAATCGTAATTGTAGCTTACATTTTTAAAGTGTTACCTGTTAATTCAATCACCATTTTACACATGTGCTGGTTGCTTTTCTTATGTCTAGCCCACAGGATAGTTCCTTAGGAAAAATGCAGAAGTGGAACAGGTGCTATCAATCTCTTCCAGGATTAGGGAGCATGAATTGGATCCAACTGCCTAACTAGTTAAGCTCCACCCTCCTCATAGATATGTGAATGCCTATTCCAAAGAGAAAGGAGCTTATCCTCATTGGATAAACCAGGCGTTCTTCTTGGTTATGGTAGTGTTCTTGTTGTGAGCATTCTGTAAATAGCAGTCCTTCCAAATACTTGTTTGGTGAACCTGAGAATACCATACCTGTAATTAGGGGTTCCCAGGTCTTACTGCCCCTTGGTAAATCAAAGGTGAGTAAGTCATAACAAATATTCAACCAAAATATCTCTTTTGTTTTCAGGAATATTAATTTTATTGTTCCTAAAATCTAGGGAATCTGAAGTCAAGTATTCACGGGGTTCAAAAAGTCAATGTCAGAACAAAAACATAGCAAAAATACAACAAAATTAACTTTTTTCAAAAAGAAAGGTGATAAGTGGACTTAGTTGTGGCATTTGTTATGTGGGAGAAAAACATTACAAAAATATTACTCTCACAGCATGTATAATTTTGCTTAGATTTTATTGGTATAGAAATGACTAGAATTTTCAGCTGAATGTCAAATTTTAGGGACTATTTCAATGACAGCTCTATTTGTATTCTAGGGTATACCAGTTACAACAGTAAAACTTTCTCAAGATGTTTTCAGAAATGCTTAACCACTAGATATTTTTTTGAAGGATTGAAGCATTTAAAAAAAAAAAACTAATCACACTAAGAACAGCAACAAAAAAGCATTTATCTTGTTTTTTGATCCATGTGCACAGTAAAATCTAATAAGTGAGAAGCCAAAGCCTCCCTACTGCTGTTGTTGAGGCATTTAAAACCCTGGCCAACTTCAGTAAGACATTTTTATAATTTGCCTGAAACAGACATTCTTATTTCTAGAGGAAAAACAGTACCTCTGAATTAGAACACATTGCATTGTAGAAATACCACAGTTGGAAACATCTTAAGAGAGTTTTGTCATCTTTCTGGATTTACTAAATCAAAGTAAAATAGCATTTTTTTATTTTCTTTTAATACTGCATCATTAAAAATAATTTGGCAAGATGATTTATTTTGGCAAATAACTTATTTCAATTGATGAGTTATCTTTACTTTTTTATATAGCAAGCCTAGTTTGGTGAGGACATTATTATCCTTAACATGGCACTATATAAAATTATCTTTGAAATGACAGCATTTTGTTTTCTTTCTATTTTAAAAGTTTTTTATATTATAAAGTCTGAAATTTTACAATTTTTCAATTTTTTTCTAGCTAGCTGTAGTATATACTGTTTTTCCTAATCGAGAGTCTATAATTTTTTCTAAAGTATAATCTCTGTTTAGCATAGAAATCCATATAAGCACAGTTTTCAATGCTCAAGCCTTAGAAACAGATTCTGGCATGATGTTTTGGTAACACATAGTATTACATTCGGTGCACCAGCTTGTACATGTTTCACATTTTGATATCACCATGATTTCGTTTAAGAGGTCCCCGCATGCCTATTTCATGATCTTTCTAAACTCTCTAAGTCCGAGGTACATCAACACATTTCCTTGCAACATCCATCCACACGCAGCACCCTCCCCTCCCCTCATCTGTAGACATCGAACCAATTGGCAGAGAGCACATTTCCCCCTGAGCGAGCAGTATTGTGAATGTTATCTTCTCTTCCAGAAATCAGTTCGTCTTCGTTGCAGCAGATGAAATTTCTTGTAACACCTCTGCAGGTAACAAACATTGCTACTTCTTGATGCATCCATCCAAGTCTCAGTATCCTTTTTTTTTTCTTTTTCACATGCTGCAGTTGGTCACTCTAGAAAGTTTAGTTAAGAAAAAAAAAGATCATATATCTTTGGAGTATAGCTGAAGCCTTCAGGCTCTGCCATATAAGACGACATTAGGCATTTTGCTAACTTTGATGTTTTATTTCTGGTTTTAATAATACATGCTCCAGAAAAGTAAGACTATGTTGAATGAATCCACAAGAAAATCTCACGGTATATTTAGCACTCTTATGGTAAAATACTGAACAGGAAGATCAGGTACACAGACATGTGACTTCCATGTTTTTTGATGTATTATGTCTGGGTTCACAGAGATTGATATGTGAATTATTTGGAAATCTTTATAGAATATTATAGGCTGTAAAGGACTGAATCTATAAAGCTAGAGGCATTAGGGAATATAATGATCTCCATCTTATAAGAAGGGGATCTTCATTCAATTATCTAAAGATCCTCTATTTTCTTTCTTTTAAAACATATCTCAAGTAGCAGAACTTAAACAGTGTTTTTCTTTTTGAAGTCAGGACATTGGCAAATGGAAATTTCATAGTTGCATGATGTGTCCATCAAAATAATACTTGTCTTTTTGCTTTGATGTGGCTCAGAACAGTTAAATTTGAACTTTCATTAAGCATGGAATTACTTGATTAAATGCCAAGATAGGTGAGTGCCTTAACTAACACCAGATTTCTTCCCTCTCCCTCCTCTTTTTTTTTTGTTTTGTTCTTAAACCTAAACTATGACCAAAACAATTACTAGGAAGTCTTGCCAATGTATTGCTTTCAACCAACAAGGGAGGATATCATAGCTCATCCATGTGTAGTTGAACATGTCATGCGTGACCTTCAGAAACATACATTAAATTGAAACATACAAATTGACACTCATCTGTTACCTTTTAACAGTGGAGCAGTTTTTTTTAAAAAGGATTATTTGCCAGTGCTTCACTCCCTATTGAAAGTTTTTGGCGAGAATGGATGAAGGAAGCACAGAGAGCTAGGATGTTCTAAAAGGGAGGGTCAGTTTCATTTATATAGTCATTTTCAGCATTGATAATGGTTTAAAGTCTTACCTGGTGAGTTCAAGAGGTATGCATGCTCACATTTTAAAGCAATGGCATACTCCATTCCTATAAAACCCCTTTGATAACATCCTTGCTGTCTCTTTCCCTTAACCTCTAGACTCAAATATTTCTGCTTCTCACTGCAAGAGGTGATGACATCCTTAACACTTCACTAATGTCTAATAGTAGAAACTGATGGTTAATTGCATTGCTGGGAGTGTCAGGAGACTATCCCTGGGTTGCAAGAGTCATTTAACATTTTCAGAGTCTTAGTAGAATGGATCATGCAACTAAAGGGTAAACTGCTGGGGATGGGAGTAGGGGTGGAAAAGAATGTTGATTTAAATGTTCATAGGAGCCTTCCCTGTTAAACTCTGTGCATGTTTCAGTGTGTCTTAGGTGCTATTTTGGCATCATAGATCAAACATGGAAAAGTAACAACATAAAAGGTACATATTGATTTTGTCCCGTGACTTAACAAACCCTGCCTTGTAAGCAAGTGATCTGCTCACAATATCACTGAAAGAAGAGACAGAAAATGAAAGTTTGCATGAGTATGGCAAGTGTTTCCATCTACCTTATCTAATTTAGAATGGCTGCTCAGTAAATTCTTAATGAATTGCTATTGATCACATTTCAAATTGAGAGAGATATCCCTGTTCCTTTGATAGCCGTATTAATAATATGTTGTATGCTTCATAAGGTTCTGTTTGAACTCTGAATTTTGAATCATGCATGAAAAATAGAAACCCATATCAATCAAATGTCAGATTATCTCCCAGCCAGTCCACCCTCCTCACAGAGCAAAAATGAAAAACCAGAACTGCTCAGTCAAAAAAGGTTGTGGCTCACAGTTTCAGTGAAAAGTCTTTCAGGGCATCATCTTCTACATGCGGGAGAAACTTGGTATGCCCACAGCCCACATTCTAAACAGCACCACTGCCATGAGTTCCTGCCTCCTTATAAAAACAACACTTCACATGGCAGGTGTATTGAATTCCGATATCTGCTGATATCAGGGTTTGACAAAAAGCAAGTTCTCTATTTTTAAGTGGAGAAAGAAATCAGCAAGATGCTTAAAAACTTAGTTTGTGAGACTTGATAAATTTTATAACTGAAATTCTTATAAGGACTAGTTATACTGTCACAGTGCTGCCCATGGCGAATGGGCTGGCCAGACACAGTTTTGTCTGTAACTTAGGGCAGAGATAGTGAGATGAACATCCTTAAACAGTAGCAACAGCAGCACGTTCAGATTATTTTTTTAAGTTCCCCAAGGAAACTTGGGCCTTTTGTAGAGGATGCCGAGATGTCTACTCTTCTTTTGTTAGCCACATAGAATAAATATTTTACATTAGCATTTGTGGTCTAGGAGACTGTGCATACAAGAATTATTTTCTTAGTGGTTTCAAAAGTGGCAGTAGTTGTTTTGTTTTTATTTTGTTTTGGTTGGTCCTGATGGACATGCATGTACTTGGGTACCTCTAGAGACTGGTCTTTTGACAGCAAGGCAGAACACCACCTAGTGCATCCAACTTGCATACTTGAATACTTTTTCATTCTATAACATTGAGAACCTATGATGAGCTGGAGTCTGCAAGAGATGTTAAAAGGGGGAAAATGATTTTCCCTTCTTCTTAAACTTGGAACTGGAAGTTCATTAGAACTTTTCCAGAATGGGCAAGTGATTGTAGTGGTAGCAGATGGGACTTGTGTGAAGATGGAGATTGAAAAGCAAGTTACTAATTTTGATGGGTGGCTGGATACTCATTTCAGTCTACTAATATCTATTGAGTCATTGCTGTATGCCAGGAATTGTTCTAAGCTCTGGTGATAAAGCATTAATTCAGGAGATGCCCTCCATCAAAGGGCCTCCCTTCCAGTGGGGAGCAGTTTCCAAGCCATATACACAAATATGCATGTAATATACTTACACAGGAAGTTATGCCATAGCTATAATGAATCAAAAATCAGGGGAGGGAGTGGAAAGTAAGGCACAGTGCTCTTTTATATTCCATGATAAGAGATGGCCTCTCCAAGAAGGTAACTTTTAAACAGGGACATGAATAAAGTGAAGATGAGCACCTGCTCACATGCAGCAAGTACAAAGGCCCTGTGGTTGAGGCATGCCTGAGGTTTCTAGAAGTAAGACATCAAGTGTGGCCAGAACATATGGGTACAGGTGAGTATTTTAAAGATCATACCTAGAAGGTAGACAGGGATCAGAGCAAGGTAGGACTTGGAGCCATGGATAATATCTGGGATTTTATTTTTAACTGGGCTGGGAAGGCATTGGAGGGTGGATCTGTCTTATATTTTTAAAGGATCAGTTAGACTGCTTTGGGAACACCAGACTGCAACATGGCAAGAGCAGAAGAGAAGGCACCAATTGGGAGATTTTCAAGGGAACTCAGAGAGAAGTGACCCAGTCTGGGTCAGTGGGATGGCTGCAGGATTGCTGAGCAGTGGTCATCTTTGACCTTGATTTTGATGGAAGAAAAAACAGGATATACTGACAGATTAGAAAGGTACAAGCTCCAGGCTGTGCTGAACGTCCACTCCCTGCCCCTCGCTTAAAGGTCATATCAGTTATTTCTGCAGAACGCCAAGGCTCTATCACGGTAGAAAGCAAGCCCTTTATACCTGCAGTGATTTTTCCTTGTGTGGGTTTTGCTGCATTCTCCAGGGTGTAATAATAACTTGCTGTCACTGATTGAGTCAATTTTGTGAGCCAGCAAGTATGATAAATTTTATATGTCCATGTATATACATATATAATATGTATATGTCTCTATATATGCATATATAATTTATTCAGTAGCTCAACAAGGTAGATGTTGTCATCATTCCTGTTCTAGGGAGTAAAAAAGAAAAAAATGCACATTTAGGCCCAGAGAGGTTTGGTTACTTGCCTACAACCACACTGGAGTACATCTGATGTCAAAGTTCTTTCCACTGTGTCATACTGTACACACATCCTTTTTCCTTGACATTGGAGCATTGGCTTTCTGCCCCAAGATGGAATATTTCTGCTTTCCCCAGCTGTCCTGTCTTGCTCCTTGAAAAACTAGTATTGTTGAGTTGGAGGACAGAGTTGCTGATATTTTGAGGGGCTAGAAGGGCATGCATGGTTCTCTAATGGTTGTTCTACTGGGAATTGATTTAACTAGACCTGCTCCCTTTAGGCAGCAGCAACATGTTTAGTCCTTCTATGTGCTGGATGCTGGTTTAGGTGTGGGGAGAGAGTGGTGGAAGGAACAGATGCCAAGTCAGGTAGCATGTTATGCCTTAAGAGAGACAGAAGTTGATGGCCAGGTGTGGTGGCTCACGCCTGTAATCCCAGCATTTTGGGAGGCTGAGATGGGAGAATTACTTGAGCTCAGGAGTTCAAGACCAGCCTGTATAACATGGTAAGACCTTGTCTCTAAAAAATAAAAATAAAGATAATAGGAATGGTGGCACATGCCTATAGTCCCAGCTCCTGAGGAGCATGAGATGGAAGGATCACCAGAGCCCAGGAGAGAGACTGTGGTGAGCCATGATCATGCCCCTACACTTCAGCCTGAGTGACAGAGTAAGACCTTGTCTCATAGATAGATAGGTAGGTAGGTAAGGTAGGTAGATAGATAGATAGATAGATAGATAGATAGATAGATAGATAGATAGATAGATAGATAGTTTATACAGGTATAGTGTGTTCTAGTTCAACTTGCCAGCATATTTTTTATTTTTTGCTGAAAAACACCTATTCCATGAAAACTACCAAACATTTTGAACTTGTCATTTTTTGGTCACAGAGTCCAAGGTGGAAAGCTCCCAGCTGGCCTACTGCCTAGGGAATGTGTGTGTGTGTGTGTGTGTGTGTGTGCAGGGTTAGGTG